CAATAAGCTCATGTATAAACATTTTGTTTGTAGGAATCTCCAGCTTGTGGGGTATATTTTGTCATGGCAGCTAAATTCCATTACTGAACTACTCTTAAGTTATCCTAAATATGCTTTTGAAGTCATTAAGTTCCAGCCTGACTACTATAATTTTCTGAGACTGAGATCTAATTTAACTCTTTTGTCCAAGGTTATGGTGGAAAGAGAGGGGCAGTAGAAAAATGTCCTGTGTGTAAAGGAAGAGGGATGCAAGTTATAGTTCAGCAGATTGGACCTGGCATGGTGCAGCAAATCCAAACTGTATGCCCAGAATGCAAAGGCCAAGGTGAAAGAATAAATCCGAAGGACAGATGTGACAACTGCAATGGCTGTAAGGTTGTAAGAGAGAAAAAGATCATAGAAGTTCATGTTGATAAAGGTAAGAACTGTATATTTGTACTGGTTCCCAAATAATAGTCAATAATAGTCTATAGTTCTGCAGAGCATAAATGGGTTTCTTTTCTTCAGGTATGAAAGATGGTCAGAAGATAGTGTTTCATGGAGAAGGTGACCAGGAGCCTGATTTGGAGCCTGGTGATGTCATAATTGTGCTTGATCAAAAGGATCACAGTGTCTTTCAGAGACGAGGGCATGACTTAATCACAAAAATGAGAATTCAACTCTCAGAGGCCTTATGTGGTTTCAGAAAGACAATTGAAACTCTGGACAACAGAGTTCTTGTTATATCTACTAGGCCAGGTAGGTTGTTAAGAGTACTAATACAATGTGAACTGCTTGCCTGTTTAATTGTACCTGGACTGGAGTTCTTGGGGGAGATTGTTCTATTTGGGTTTTTTTCCCTAACCAGATGATGCAACAGATTCATGAGGCAGTCAATTTAGTTAGTTCTTTGTTGTTGTTACTGTCTAAAACATACAGAATCATACCTAAAGCTGTCAAATACTTAATAGATCTCAGGCCCAGTTGGTGGATAGCCAGGAAGATATTAAAGAGGAAATAATCTTAAATTCTACTAAATTATCTGTTCATTCAGCCTGAAGATTGTGCCAAGAAAAGTGTATTTCTCTTAGAGCAGGGGAAATAGTCTAAGTGGCCTTAGTTGTGTACAGCTTGGGTGTAGGTCCTTCCTGTAAATTGGTTACAATCTCCCTGAGGTGCCATGAGAACACTGCTTGTGTACAGCCCTGCCTCATGTGGCTGTGAAATGCCCATCCCATCATAGCAGCCCACTTACTGCTCTTGCCTCCACAGGTGAAGTGATAAAACATGGCGACCTGAAGTGTATCTACAATGAAGGGATGCCTGTCTACAAATCTCCAATGGACAAAGGCAGCCTGATCATACAGTTTTTGGTAAGCTGCATGCTTTGCTGTAGCCAGTATACTCATGTTTGTACATGAATAAATACTCATTTTAAAAAATACATACAACTGTAGGTCCAGTTTCCAGAGCACTACTGGCTCCCAAGGGAGAAACTGTCTCTACTGGAGGCTCTGCTTCCTTCACGAGAAGATGTTATGGTTACAGATGAGATGGATCAGGTAGACCTTGAAGATTTTGATCCAAACGAACAAACCTACCGTAACAGTGCAGGAGAAGCATATGAAGAAGATGAGGAGGGTCCAAGAACAGGAGTACAATGTCAGGCATCTTAAAGCAAGGTGGAGCGGATGTCATCTAAGATGTAAATTTTCACAATGAAAACTGCATGGCTCTAATAGCCACTGCTTGCGGTTTTTGTGTTCAGCAAATTGAGTTGCTGCGCTGTCAGTATCACCTTTTTGTAACTAATTTATATTGTGTTCTTGTAGTCTTTCTATATAAAGCAAATGTCATACAGCTGAGAACCAAGTTCGTATGCATTTTCCTTGCTGTGGAGGTTCTCAATTTATTCACCTGTGCTATTTCTATAAGACTTTGGCAATACCTTTAGAGGCTAAGTGGAGTGTCTTATGTAAATACTTTCATACTGGAAAATTAATTTCATAGAATAAAACATAGCAGAATAACCTCTAATAAATAGTACTTCACCTTTTCTCTTGCTTCTCTTGTATTTTCTAACCCATTCTGGAACCCCCTTTATTTAAACAAGTTCTTCTAAGCTCAGACTCATGTCATCTAGTCTAGATTATTTGTGTTAGCTGCATCACTCATACCCGTCTCATTTTGTATTTCAGAAGCACTTTGTGCATGCCCCCCCTCTCTGCCTCATAGCTCTCCTCCTGTGTTTTGTGGGTTTACAGTAACATTCCTTCAGCTGCTTCTCTGTGTATGACCTAAGGTTACAAGCTGTCCTCTAATGTGTTACATACAAGCAAATAGTTGCAAATAAAAGTTTGACCTTTCAGAAGCTCAAGCTTTGTATTTCAGCCTTCCCTAGGAAGGGTTTTTACTTCCTCCTAGGCATTGTATACTTGTGCCTTAACTAAAATGAATAAACCAAAACCACCTGCACCGGGTATACTGCTGCTGTTTTGAAACATACATGATACTACAGTACAGCAATCCCATTAAAGCTTTTTTCCATTTAACCTGTTTGCTCGTAGTGTTTGTATTAGGTCAGGGTTAGAAACAAGTGGTCCCCTTTAGTGAAATTAAACCATGATGAATGATCCATGTCCATGTACCACACAATTGTTGAAACAGGTGTTCAGCTTAAGTGATCCTTTCAGGACAAGCCGAGGCTGTCATTTCCCATGTCTAGAACAGCCTCAGTCATTTTCCTTCTGCTAAAATAAGCTGTTGTAACACTTACCCCGTGCTTTCCAGCTTTGGTCTATTTATGTTTAAAGGCAGGGGTGATTAACTGAGCAGTTTCTTTACCTATGACTATCTATTTCCAAAAATACTTTTTTCCCAAGAATTACACACAAGGACTTGGAACTGTAGCTTTTATTTTAAAAAAGTAAGGCTTTCTCTCATGCTAATCAAAATTAGATCTGGTTTTGCAGAGTAGTATGAATGCTTTTATCATACTAAAAAATTACATAGGACAGTAGCAGTCCCTTGAAACTGCTACAAGAGATTTACTGAAGCATCTGAGTCAAGACATTTAAACTGGACAGTCATAAATATGAATTTCTTGGTCATCACCAACAGACACAATTTTGGACCCACTTCCATTGTATTTCACTCCCCAAACCTGTTAAAAAAGACATAATGCAAGTTTAGCCAGAGAGGACAAAGGAAAAGAATCTTTGTGACAGTAATATTTATTACAAGCAATAGAGCAAGGATTATTTGAAAATAACTAATTAGAACTGGGGCAGTTCTGGCTTCTGCTTTACCAGCAGCCAAGGCTGCCAAAACAGAGCAGGACACTGCCCTCTAGGAGCCTGACGAGCTCCTAGAGCCAGTCCCACTGACTGGCCAGAGATACTCGGTCAGGGCTGAAAAGTGCTTGCCCCAGCTTACATAAATAACCCAAGCATTTTCACTCTTGCCCATCTGCAGCCCTTTCTGAAAATAGGATTTTACAGTGCAGGAAAGCAAGAGAGGAAGTATTTGTCATGCCGACTGAGACATCATGACAGACTGAAGAATGACCAGGCTTATCCTTGAGCTCTTTCAGAGAACCGTTTACCTACCATTGCAAAACTTACTGAGAAAAGTTCAGATCAGTCCTGTGATCTAAGACAGTTACACAAGTTTACCTGACAGCCATCTTCACCAGAATGATACCAGGGAGAGTGAAGGCTACTCAGCACATTAATGTGAAATGCAGAGTGGGTGTGTTGACAGCAGTATGTTTTGGGCAATCCCGTGCTCTATTTTGCACTAGTACCCAAACCCAGCATTCTCACTAACTAACACATCTCTGCTACTGAATGACATCATACACAACAGAACGAGATCATACACAACAGCTAAAACAACAGGGGAAATCATGTCCCACTTGGTACTTCAGTATTAAAACCCCCATAATTATAGGTAACTGAAAAGAAGGTTCCCAGCAAGAATTTACTACGGAAGAAAACATTCAAAATTTGGAAGAATGTCCTTTGTTTCTTGCTCAATGGTCCATTAAAATATAACATTGTTCTATTTATCACCTAACAATTGGACAAAGAGGAAATGGGTAGAATCCAAACTCCTTTCCACACAGGTAGCTATCACTGAACAATAAATTAAAAACCCATGTATTACAGACACAGAAGGAGGAAAAACTCCCAAGTTCCCCGGCTGCTTCCAAGCATCTGTTTAAGTAATTCCATCCTGTTAAATAAGTATTTCCACCCTTACACAAGCACATGCTGTGTTAGTCACAGAAATAAGTAAAACCAGAGACAAAGGTAACAAATAGAGTCTGGTGAGACTTAGGCCACTCAGGATTGCCTTTATTTGGGCCTGAAAAATGTTCATTACTTGGAAGAGATCAGCATATACACCTAGGAGCACCAGCTCAATATTAAGTGCTAAATAACCACAACTTCTAAAATTTTATTATAGCAGGCTAAAGTTGCATTACTGCAAGCCTGGAGCTACAGCACCAAAGTGAAGCACAAATTTGCACAACTACACAAACTCTCCTGGGAATGTGGTGACTCAGGGAATAGCAACCATACCTGATCTTGGTGATCAAAAAAAGTATGGACACAGGTCCTCGTTCCAGCATCCCAAACCTTCACACTTTTATCAGATGAACTGAAAGAAAAAGAATATTGATTAATGTTTAAATTAATATATTAACTAAAGTTTAATGCAAACTTTAAAGGGTCTCATATGGTAGACATAAGAAACCCTCTTTCACCCATCAAATACAGGGATGAAGTAGTAAAGGACTGCATCTTCTGCCAGGTTCCATTACCTTTAAAATAAATTTAATGTTCCAACATCTGCAATGTGAAAATGAAGACTCCCATTTTGG